AATTAGATTTATAATAAAAATTATTAAGATTGGAAATTTTATATTATTTAATTAACTAAAATCAAAATTAAATTTAAAAATTTTTAATTTTATTCTTTGTGTAAAGAAAAAATTTTTATTATTAAACTATAATTTTAAATTATGAAATTAAATTAATTCAATTTCTTTATTTTATAATTTTTAAAAATCTATTCATTAGATTATAAACCTATAGAGTTTTATAACCTAATGAATAGATCGGCTATCGGTTCAGATCCAATTGCAATAGTGTATATAGCCACCTATACGCTAATACAACCAATGATCAGATCTATTCACTAGATTATAAAACCTATAGAATTTTAATAATTTTATATGATAAAATATTAGTAAATGTATCAATAGATTGATAAAATATTAGTAAATGTATCAATAGATTATGAATCTACCAGCTTAATTTAGCTTATTTATATATTTTTCAGCCAAATCGTATTGAATCGAAATGGCTATAGCAATTCAATAGGAATTTTTCTTCTTATTTATGTAAAAAAATCAGGTCACCACGATATTAGTCGAAAATGTCAATAAAATTAAATTTTTCATTCAAATCCTATTGTATTGAAATGGCTGTAGCAATTTAATAGGATCTTTTTTTCTCCGTATTTATGTAAAATAATTAGCTCACCACGATATTTATATAAATTTTTTATGTTATAAAGCCATACAAATAAATTTTTTCTATATTATGAATTATATAAATAAAATTAAATTATTAAAATATTAATTAATAAGCTATAAGAATTTAATAAAATCACAATTTATCAAATATAAACAAATTAAATTTATATAATAAAAAAGTTTATATAGATAATTATTGTGACTATATTTACATATTTGTGACTATATTTAATTATATATTAATAATTTTCCTTTCTTTATTTATTTATAATAAAATAAATATTATTTAATTAATTAGATTTTATTTATGTCTGTTTCAATCTTAATGTATATATGTTAATAATAATAAATTATTTTATTTGAATAATTATTATTTATAAATAATTAAATTAAATTGTTATATAATTAGATATTAATATAATAATTTACTAAAAAAGAAAAAGAATTATAAATATGTAATTTAATATATAATCTCTTTTATTTGAGGTATACAAGGTTTAGACGATAAACGCACAATACTATGGGAAAAGTAATAATGTTATTTCTTGTAGTTATAAAAAGAATGAAATGAGACGATTGCATGCATCGATTGCCCTCACAAAATTATTGGCACACGTACCAAAAGTTAATAATTTTAACAATGTTAATATTTTGTAGGGTATCCTTTTTGTTTTATCACGTCGGAAAGTTTGGCATTGGTTTTATTTTACCTTAAAAGTGCTTTTTAAATATTCTTCCTCTATATTATGCTATTCCTCTTGTGATTTACTTTCTAATTCCGTTTTATTAGTTATTGAATGCTTTGGTATCTTTTTATCTAATTTATCCCTTACCATCTCAATGGAATTTAGATCAGGTGTATTTATTGTATTTATTGTTTATTGTATTTGTGTAGTATCGTATTTATGGTCTTTGGTCAGTGGTATAGTAACCACACATGAATAATTTCCGATTTGTGTTTCAGGTCATTATCTTGATCTAATTAGAATCTTTCAAGAATTCCCAATTTTTTGAACATTTTATTTGAAATTATTCTTTAGCATACTGAAGTTTCCCATTTTATTTATTTTTTCTGTTATAAATTTTAAATTTCCTACCCAGTGGTAATTGATACATTTCCAAATCATAATATGACTACCGTATTTGGATATTTTTAGAATCTATTTCTTCGTTCGGTTTTCGCTATACTTTTATGTGACCATCAAACCCCGAAATATTGAATTTACTCTCGTTACAAAATGTAACATCTCTCCAAAATTCTCTAGATCTTGATATAAATGTTCTTGCAAAATCTTTTTTCTTTCGATTTACTGCAGTAGCGTATGGTTGTTTCCTTCTGGGTGTTCGTCCATTGTATGAATTCTTCCGCAACATTCTACGGACTGTTGCATTAGAAACAGTTTTATTACACAAATGTTGGAGCTCGATGTTAATTTGAGAGGCATTTATTCTTGGATTTTGTTTCACATTTTGTACAATAAAATGTTCTTCTGATAAATTTAAGACCTTTTTCCTTCCATGTTCAGGTCTGTCTTCAATTCTACCTTCATCTCCTAACCCTTAATTAATAATATTTTTGGCGGATGAAAAACTTTTCTCTATGATATTTCCAATTTCTCTATACGATTCTTCAGTTTTGCAGTGATGAGTTACTAAGTTTCTTATATCCAAGTTAGTTTCTTTAGCTTTTCTCGCCATATTAAAATGTGTATTCGAATATTTCTTTTATCCCTTTCGCTACTACGGGTGATTATAGTCACCGGCCACAGGAATTAAGATAAGTGCTATCGTTTCGTTTAGCTCTCTTCGCAAAGAATTACAAGCGTTATTACGATAGTCGATTTTTCTTTCCATATTCTCTCTTTTTCTTTCAAAAGATTTGGCTTCGAATACTAAAGACTGCACGCGTGTAATGCTTCCATGTTTGACATGCCGCTACGTTCTATAGGAGGGATTCCGCGACGAG